TCCAAATTTGAAAATCAATTGAAATGACCTTCTGACTTCAACCTTCAAAATGTAGAGCAAAATTGGCTATTCTCCTAGTATGTTTTTCCCTCTCCATCCCCGCCTACTTGTGCTCGTCCAAAGAAACAAGACACAGCATAGTTTACCAGTAGCCTGCAGCTACACTTTTTGAGACACCATGACTACTGTCGGAGATGACAGAGAAACAACAGGACAACAAAATTCTCTTACTTCCCTGAGGTTATGGGCGTCACAAAATTTTGCCTTCCCCTTGAGATATGTAAAGAATTAACATGTCGTTGACAGAAACACTAGTTTGTAGGCAATACTACACGCGGGTACCATATGTTATCTCAGGCAATGCAACAAATATGGCAGGAACGTATTCCCAGGCATTATAAATAAACAGATTTGACAGGGACAACAACCACAATCTGGTGACTTTTTGCACGTGAAGAAACTCAAACTGCCATTGTAAAGTACCCTTTTGCCATCTAGTGGCTCTTCTTTTTGTTTTTATGTCATACAATTTGGTCCCAATTGAGTGCTGAAATACGCTACTGACCTTACATCTTAAATAAATTATATTTATTTTAAATTATATACATTTATTTTGACCACATGGCCTCAGTGAGGTAAATACCAAATTAAAAGGGTGGGGTGGTCAGTTTTAGGTATGTGCCATTTTTATATCACTGTGATATTGAATTTCAGAACCTTACACTTCTTAGACCAATGTTTCAAACCTATGACACTTTGAAAACAAGATTTACATATAGTTTTTAAAACCACCAGGTGTTATGGTTGGAGTTGGTATGGCACATGCACACCCCTGTGTGTTATTCTGCCTTTACTCTATGCTCATTGTGACAGATTCCAATAATATCAAATAAGTGAATCACCAAATATTTTTCAAATACACCGTCTTACCTGGCTACTGACTGAGCCTCAGGGTAGCGCCCCAGCAGGGCTAAGCACTCTGCCTTCAGTATCTTGAACCTGTGACAGGCTGCGGCAGACTCCAAGGCACGGTCCATGCAAAAAACAACCTAGAAACAACCACAGCACACTTGCAGTCTGTTTCTGGTGACATACCACACAACTGATGAAATTCAGTAAGATTGTAACTTCTGTGCAGCTTACCATTCTGAAGTCTCTCTTCTCAAATCCAATCTCTGCCATTCTCTCATATTCAAGGATGGATTCTGCATTCTTCAGCTAAAAAAGGAATGTGTGGTATTCAGTGACAATGTCAAACACCTGTGGTAGAATAATTGCTTTACAGTTACCACTGGCCTCTGTCATATGCCAAGCTTAGTGCTCCTAAAACCAGGGCAATAAAAGTAGCAGTACTGTACTTCTGTGACAGCATAAAAAAAGAAGAAAGAATATTAAAGAATATTTCCCCGAAAAATGACCATTGTGTATCAACTACTCACCAATAGTTACCTTGAATTTGTGAATACACTTTGTTTTTCTTGCATGCTTTCACAGTGAACGAAAAATCCCAAAAGAATTCTTGATGAACTGGGGTAAAAGGCGACCGCATTTAAAAACAGCACAACTATATCAAAATATCCATTTACAAACTCTCACAAAATGTGTGCTGTGTAATCAAAGTCTCATTTATCCAGGTATGCTCAGTACTCCATAACACACGCATTTTCACTATAACCTTATTATTTAAAAAACGTCCACATATGAGTAGCACACAAGGGCAAACACAAGCATCTGAACTCCGCTGGTGCATTCCACTGAGCAGAGATAAAACATGTGCTTACCCAGGCACGCTCCTTGTTCTTGCCTAACAACAGTTATGCAAAAGTGTTTTAAATAGTAAGGTTTTAGTGAAAACGCATGTGTTTGGGAACTGTTGAGCATGCGACTGGATAAATGAGACTTGGATTATACTGCACAAGCTGTGTTAAGTGTTTGTAAACAGATATTTTGATACAGTTCTGCTGTTGTTAAATGCAACCCCCCTTAACTTCAATTCATCAAAAATTTTCTCTGTCTTTTGGATTCTGAATTCAATGCAACACAGGGTGAGTAACTGATATACAAATTATAATTTCACAGGTGAATTATTCCTCGAACAGTAACTCCACTTGATCTCCCCTTAAACCACTCAGTGTCTTTCCACTTTATTTGCACTAGTTTGGCCAAAGCCTATCTAATAGAGGATAATCCTGTCCAAGTTGTTAGATCATGCTCTGTCAAAGTGAGGCCAACTCACCTCCTGTTGGGCCTGGCTGTTGTCAGATTCCAGTTCCAGAACCCTCTGGAAACAGCGGCTGGCAGCCATCGCATTGCCAAGAGACAGGTGGCACTTGCCCTCTCGCAGATGTCCCTGTGGGTAAAAGATTTACAGTTCACATACTGAAGTGATAACATCCCCTAATTCCTTGGTTGAAATCAAATGGGCACTGTGTACCAATACCTAAACCATGATCAGCCCCAACTTACTTGTATGTGACACACCTTTTTATTCCTTTGGCAAAATCATAATGCTAATAACCCACTGCACTGTTACAGGGGTGTGCTGTAGCTTATATATTGAGGAGCCACATAGCATTATAAACTAAACTGTATACATGCATAACACCAGTCATTTCTATAAGCTGAACAGATAAATAGCCCTGGGATGTAATAAACAATCACAATTAAATTTCAAGCTCCCAAGTTTCTGTGGCATTTCTAAAACCTCCTTTCATGTTAGTTTTACTTTATTATGTAGAAAAGGGTTTACTTGCATTATTTACACGTAGTTCTGCTAAATCAAACATGTGTCCTCTTCACCAGGCCTTATCTATAGAATCCTGGAAACTTAAAAAAATCTGGACAGATAATCTCACTTGTGTTTGCTCATCTCCTTTCCTCCTTGACTGCCTATGAGACTTTTTACTAACACTTCCATTATACAGCAAAAGACACCTTCTGTATTTATTCCTATAAAAGGCCATTGTAACTTATGTTAGGTATACTGTGATACCTTGATACCGTGAAACCATGATATTTTCTGAGACGGTCAATGTACCATGAAAATCTCATACTGTGCCTGAGTGCTTATCAGTCTAGATTGTTTTGGTGTGAGAGTGTTGGAGATATCGACCATAGAGATGTCTGCCTTTTCTTAAAATAATCAAACTAGATAATACTGGGCTTGTGCTGCTCAAACAAATCATATAAACCAGTTACTCAAGATAATCCACAGAGCTTGTTGTGAGCAGTTTCATGTAGAAACTATTTCTTTCTACAAGATTACACCTGCCATGTGTGCATCTACTCGGAGACTAGAGGCTCATGCTCATGACAGCGTAAAATGTAAACATTAATGGCGTCTTCATCTGCTGAGCTGTAATGTTAGCCAGCTCAGTGGTGCTAGTTGAGCTAGCAGTAGATGCATCCTTCCTCCTGGGCAGTTATATGGTTGGCATGGGCAGTTCATCAGAAAGAATATGGATTTTCTTGATTAACCAGGTCATGATTTTTGGAAAGAGACATTGCAGTTTTCCAAATGTATTTTTTTTTTTGGCACTGTAAGCACCACAATCCTAGTGCCATCTTGTTCCATTATATTTAAGAGAAGGCAGACATCTCTACGGCCAATATCTCAAACACTCTGCAACTCACATCATAAAAAATCTAGATCTAGACACAACAAGAATAAATCTTTTCATTTAACAGAATGCAATGTTTTTTTCCCCCACAACGTACCTTCATGAAGTCGTTATCTAGTCGTACTGCTTGCTGGGAATCCTCTAAAGCCTCTCTGTATCGACATAACATCATTAGCGTGGCTGCCCGGTTTCCATAGTAACTTGCATTCTTCGGACACATGTCTGTATAACAAACACGTTATTGACATGCTATCAAGGACAGTCAGAGTTCCTACTTTTATTTCTTATCCAAACAAGAAATCAAGATAATGCCATGGACTGACAGGAAGTCTGGCTCAAATAACTAAGAGATAATTACCTATGGCCTTGGTGTAATAATTGAATGCTTCTGCGTAATCCTTCTTGATGTAAAAAGCATTGCCTTGCTCCTTGAAGCCCTCTGCTTCCCTGCGGGCAGACAGACAGGCAAAGAGGCTCATTTTAGCAAACTCAGGTGAGTGTAGCTGAACAGAGCATGACACACAGGTGAATGGGGTTGGTGGTCTGCTACCTGGCTTTGTAACAGATAACTGAACACCTTATCTTTAAATTTATTATTTAGACTGTAAAACCTTGAGGTGTGAACATCACATTTATAATCACGTGTAAGGAGAGCATGTCCAGGAATGTGACTGACAGTGTGCATCAGGGAGCTTGCTGGCCTGAGTTAGCTAAACATAGAAGGAACCAAACCAGCAGGTCACAAGTGTTCCCTCCAATCAAACACGTAGCTATTTTGTGAAGCTGACGGGCAGCAGAGCCAGGAACATATGACACCATGCCGTGGGCCAGTGCCGTTACTTTTTTTGGAAGTCTTTCATGTTTTACACCACGACCACACATTCAGTGAATGGTGTCATTAACTTGTTGGCCACGTTGTATCATACTGGGAATACTGCAATAAAGTGAAAGCAGTACCCTAAGCAAATAACGGCAGATTGACAGCTTTAACAGTTGTCTGACTGCAACCTAGAAATCCAGCTCAGGGGCTAGCTAAGATGACAATCAAGCTAACTGCTATCCGGGGCAGAATTTAGCTAAACAGCGGTGGCGCGCTAGTTAGCTTTCATAGTGCGAAGTGCGAAGAAAATTAATACGGGAAACACTTTTGCTAACACATGTCAGTGAGCCACTTTGTTATATGTGTATTTCTGCCGCTGACAATGTAGCGTTAGTTTGTTTTACCTCTCTAATTCTTCGTCACTGAGCAGTTCCATGTCAGGGTCCATGTTCACAGCATCACAGTTCTCCGTCGCCATTTTGCCGTCAGTGGGGAGGGGCGGGGCCACATACTGCAGTCGTTACGTACACTGTAAACAGGAAGTAGCCCTTTTGGTAAGAAGAGCAGCTTGCTTGATAATAAGAATCATTATCATAGCTCAGTCATATTTACCTGCAGGTAGCCATTATGAGCTTATATGTTTGAGGGCACAAATTTTACTCGGGATTGTCAGTTTCAGATAACATTAGCGACTGTATATATTACATCGTGTCTACGGACCTCACCGAAAGCTAATGCTAAGCTAGTTCCTAATGTCACAGACTGGAGAAACGGTAACATGCTCAGCTAACTTAATTAGCTAACGTTTTTGTAATATATCAGCATGACTAACGTACATTTTTAAAATGTGTGCTATCTTGGAATGAATGCATTAGTAACGTTAGTTAATTGTTTATGACAGAAGCATATTTTAGCAATGTTGCTACCCAAAAGGCATGAGCAACGTTAGTACAATGTTATGCACTCAGTTTTCATAGTTTGCAACGTGAACAAAATATTGGTGCATTTTCTCCAAAAAACAGATTTTCTGACCTGAAAGTGAGTCATGGGCAAAAGCTGTAAGGTGGTTGTGTGTGGCCAGGCTGCAGTTGGCAAAACAGCTGTACTGGAGCAACTACTGTATGCCAATCATGTTGCAGGTATACATTTTGCTCTATATTGTTTTATTCTTTTTATTTCAAATAACACTGTTGACCTGCTTGTAATGCACTGTACGTTGGTTATTCTCTGTGCATTACTTACTGTATTTAAAATGTTTAGTTTGATTGCCACTGATTCTCCCTCACACACTGATACATGTAAGGAACACATGTATTAGGGTCTTATCTGTATGTATCAGAGGAGGGGGGTGGCTGGGGTGTGACTTAGTTTTTTTTCTGTTTTGACCCTCCCTGAAGCTACAAATATTTCTCCTTCCTGAGTGTCTAGCGGAAAATGCATTACCCTCCCTTCGCCATAAATTAGTAATTACATTTTAAAATGTGCCCTTTGATGTTTGAAAGGTAAAACTTAAAAGTTGAAGACAAAATCCGGGACCTGATCAAAGCCTTGGTTTTTCACTCTTGTTGTGCATGCTGGTTAGTTTGTGCAAACAGTTTATTTTTGGCCAAATTTTAAATGAGATGAGAATGAAGTGATTTTGGTGAATTTAACTATTTTATGCTTAGATTAGGTTTTGTTGTTTTCTGACAGAAGCCTTTATGTTTACTTTAAAATTGATGGTAAAATAATACAAAACACAACCTTTTAAATGTGTATGCCCCTTCCCTAAGTCAAAATAAAAAACAGTCCTGGCTGGCCCATTGCTTAAAAATCATGAGATGCCTCCCCCTTTTGTACCATCCCTTCCCTCTCATAAATAACAAACAGTCCCAGTAATTATTTGGGAATAGCAATTGAACAAGCAAAATATATTATTTGTGCATAATCATCTTCCTCATGAAGGTACAAAACAGAGGGCCTTTTACACTAGCATTACACATTAAATTTCTTTTCATACAGCATGGTTTATTGCAACTGAATATCATTAAGTTTTTAGGCTTTTAGGCTCCTGTAACAGCAAGACTGATACTCTGCTTTTAGTCAGGCACAAATATCACAAATAGGACACTGTGTGTTGTAGAGCTTGTGATAAGACCCTAGAGGGATAAAGTTACATGACTAGGTCTTTTCAACTGTTTTGTGGATTAACATCTTGCTACTAGGTGTGGGGGGAAAAGATCGATTCAGCATTTTTGTTTTCTTCTTCTTCTTCTTCTTCTATTATCATGATATTTTCCATTCAATATTGTATCGATATATGGACGCCAAGTGTTGTTTTTATTTTTTTATATAAATTATTAATATTGCAAGTAAATTAAACTTTGGGAGACTACTAGATCATAAAACCAGTACATTTGATACTTTGCTGCAATAAAAATGATTTAAGTAAGATGAACATATTAAAACAGATGTTAGATAAACAGATGTTGACAAATTTTTCCTTTTGGGTCATAATTTGCAGTTGAAAATGGGTAATAAATTGGAATATATCACAATATATGGCATCACAATACTCAGCATACAGCAAAACATTTAAAATCTCAATAACATTGTATCGTGACTTAAGCATTGTGATAATATTGTATTATCGGCCCTCTGGTGATTCCTACCTTCACTTGCTACATTCTGGTTTCTAAAGTTCACTTGGAAGTAAATGTTAATCAGCACTAACTTAACAAATTTATTGCATATGTTTTTTTTTTCTACTGACACCCTGTCATACAACAGTGTGTTGCTATTTGTTTCAAGTGACTAAATATGAAAGTGCTTAGTTACAATGTATTCATTACCAGCCATTATCCTAATACTTGTGCAGTATTACACACTGTATGTGTCTGTCTTTGTTTGTCCACTGTTAGGTTCAGAGCCCATGGAGACCCTGGAGGATATCTATATTGGCTCCATAGAAACTGATCGCGGCACACGAGAGCAGGTGCGCTTCTATGACACCCGTGGGCTCCGGGATGGGATGGAGTTTCCTCGACATTACTACACTTTTGCTGATGGCTTTGTACTCGTCTACAGCATTGACAGTAAAGAGTCCTTTAAGCGAATGGAGGCCCTCAAGAAGGACATCGACCGTCACAGAGACAAGAAAGAGGTGAGGACTGCCAAAGTGCTTGTCATTGCTAATGAAGCGAAGCACACTGATGTGGACAGAGCTAGAGTTTACACTTATGTGGGGCTAACCTGATGATCCTAATCCACAGGTCACCATTGTTGTGCTGGGTAACAAGCTGGACAGGCAGGATGAGAGGAGAGTCGACTCTAACATGGCCCAGAACTGGGCGAAGAACGAGAAGGTGCGTCTGTGGGAGGTGTCAGTGGTGGACCGGCGTACACTGATCGAACCCTTTGTCTACCTGGCCAGCAAAATGACCCAACCTCAAAGCAAGTCCACTTTCCCTCTCAGTCGCAACAAGAATAAGGGCAGTGGTTCTACAGACAGCTGAACGACCAGACACTGTTTTTATGTTCGAGAGGAAGCAAAAAGGGAGAAGAGGTGTGTTAAAGGGAATCTAGTTTTGCTAAAAAAAAAAAATCAAAAAAAAAACCTATTTCAATATTATGAAGGACTGAGGTAGTAAGAGTTGGTTTGGAAAATATGGATAAGCGATAATGAGAAAAGGCAGGATGATTGTATGGATATTTATATATACAGTGAGTACTGTTGGTTTAGCATCCATGTTCGATGTTTTGATAAAATACTGCAATTATAAATGAGTGACAATGTTGATCTTTTATCAACAATTTAAAGAATGCAAAGTTTTTTTGTCATTCCGTGTATATTAGTTTGGATTATGGTCAAAATATTCATACACATTCTTGATTATTACAGCTGTTGACATCAGCAGCCATGTTTGGACTTGCAGCTCTTAAACTACTGACAATCAACATTTTGCTCTCAGACTCATGGAGCTCACTGTATAGATAAATTAGGACCTCGCACACAGATACACTGGCTACTATTTTATTTACATGTACACACAGGCTGAATCAAAAATGGCAGCAGTCACTCATGTTACCTGATTATTGCGTCACACAAATGCTGAATTTCACATGTTGTAAAAGATTTGATAGGTGAAAGTCTTTTATTGATACATTCTTGATGATGTGATGTTTGTTGATCTGGAGAGTTGTTACACTATATTTGTTCTTTACTGAGTTATACTGTTGGATGTTGTACAGTGAATTATTAACATTCCTTACCACATACTGCCTTCTATACAGGCTGTAGAAACTGAAATATGAGATAAATGTTCAGGAGAAAGGCAGTTTCTGCAGGCTCAGGTGCTACTTTTTTTCTGCTTGTGACACATAAAGACATAGCACATTCTATATAGTAAAATGTTGCACCACGAACAGCACGACTCTTCATGTAATCAGTTACAGTCACTGAGGAAGTTGAAGCTGGTATATTTTTTACTAAGCTGTAAAGTAAAACCCAGGGCATTCATCAGCTGACCATTGAACAGTCACATCAGGGTGCAACATGAGTCAAAATATCAGCAGCTTTTAATGTTTGATTGAAAAGGGGAATCCGTTTATTGTCTTTATTCATGTGTTTGTGCTTCAGGCTTTCAACACTATGTAACATACATGCAACATTTTTTGTGAATATCAAGCCTTTATGTATTAATATCCATAAAATGTGTTCACTTGATATTTGCTTGCATGTTTTGCAAACACATTAAATGATTTTTTGGGTCTAAACAGAATATGTGTGAAGTGTTCATTTTTGTTTCATCAGTTTTCATGAATTTGGTTGGAGTGTAATGAGTGTACAGAGCCCTCTATTGGTTACAGTGAGGAACTGCAACACCATTACAATAAACAAAGAGATGACAGCTGTGTTTTTAATATTTTGTCCACTACCAAGTAGCATGTATATAAATGAAGGTGGGCGAAACATTCACAAAAGTATTATATCTCACATAGGTGTCTATAGTAATGCATCACATGTTGCGGGGTTCATAGTACCTAATGAAGTGTTTATTTATAATACAGCTTTAATATTTGTGCTCACATGCCTATGAGTAAACATTTAGATACTTCTAAAGAATAATAACAATATAAGTATTGTCACATATGTGTGATAATCCACATTGACACCCCCACTGAAACCATCTTTGCATTTGTACTGAAGCCTAACACTGAACACCATTTTTTAAATGGCATCTAGCCTTTGTTTTTTTTGGAGATTGAGTGTCCTTGTAAATATCTTTGGGCAAAAGCTCTATCAAATTATAAGTTAACATTTCAAAAGCTGTTTTTTTTTCTCATGTAGTTCCTCTGAGTACACATGTGTTTTCTTAATACTTTTTGTCATGTGGGAGGATTTAAGGGCTGTTTTTCAACGACAAGCAGGTGTTAGCATTTCATTTAAAAACTGAGCCTTTTATATCCCTCGGAGGAAAAACACTGATTAATAGATACAAATAGATTCACACCAAATTAAAACTCGCACAGAAGCATGGGAAATTATCAGCTGTTGTGCAATAAACTGTCCACTGTGTTTGATTACTCAACAAAATGGAACATACAAAATAGAATATTCATGACAAACATGTTCAGGAGAAATGTGCCAGTGATTTAATGATTATTGGAAATGCTGGGTGCAATTTGTAATGACAACTGATTATTTATTTATTTATTTTACCCCTAAACTGACAAGAATAACACAAGAGCTCCTTGAGGAGAAATGATAGAGATTAACCAGCAGCAGTACATTTCAATGACTGCAAACATGATATCTCATCATTTAGGTTTCAGGGCATTGAAAAAGTTACTCTGCCAGAGAGAGGTGGTAACATTCAAGAAACACTTGGCAGAAGAGAAGTATGCTGATTATTTAATCTGTAAACTCTAACTCTCAAAGGATTAAATGATGCGATACAATGGCATGTCATGCTTTAATGGATTTGGGGATCTCAAAAGACCAATTTATAACACATGGCATAGGAGTACACATTGTTTAACATTTTGAATGATTTATGAAAGCTGCAGGACCGATGTGTTCATTCAAAGGATCAATATTTTTTTGTAAATAATCTTGTAAATATCCTTTATTGTGTAGGGAGCTTGAGTTATTTATGTTTTTCCTAAATTTTTCAAGTTTCCTTGTTCTTTCGTTTGTGGGATATGTGACATATCCTTCTGAGACCCTGTGTCCTCATATGAGGACATTACATTTTGGGTTTACTTAACCTTATACTTCATTCTACTTAACTTAGACCTGTTGTCCTCCTTCGTGGACACTTTTTTGTGCCATCTAGTGGTAGTAAGAGCACAATACACCAATCCAGGTGAAAACAAGATGGCAGCCATCTCTGCTGAGTCAGTCTGCAGCAGACACAAAAGTGGACAAGGTCCAAAACCTGGTCACATTTCAGGGTTGAAACTTGTTTATCAATGATTAATAATGTCTGTAGTTTGATATGGCAGCAAATTTGATACATTTTAGCAACAGTAACAGGCTAAGACACCTAATTAGGAACTGCTGCCGAGGTGCCCTTGAGCAAGGCACCGAGCCCCCCAACCGCTCGGAGCGCCTGTCATGGGCATGGGCAGCCCCACTCTGACATCTTTCCACTTAGTGCATGTATAGGTCCTGTTTGTGCCAACCTGGTTTGTGCATGTGTGTGTTTGGACCTGTGTGTAATTGACAACAGAGTGAAAAAATTGAATTTCGCCTCGGGGATTAATAAAGTATATAAAATTGAAAAAACTAATTAAATTGTGAAGCTGAGTAAGAGCAGTGTGTGGGATTTTCTATTCAGAGACTCAGGCAATATTTTCCAACGCACCTGCATCTGAGACAGTTAGTTGTGTGAATACCTTTTTTCAAACTAACCCCTGAACTGACACCAAAGACATCAGTGCAGTAAAAAACTAAACCAGTTTTGTGTTCAGGTATCTGTGATGATCTGTGCACTGTAACTCTACACATTTTACAATGTACAATCTTAAAAAAAAAGGTTGAAAATTGTACAGATCTGTAACACGGATTAGTTAAGCATTCAATATCCATCAAAAAAAGTAAGCTCTTTAAATTGTTACATTGGCGTCAGTTTGGGAGTGGCTGTGAAAACAGTCCAAGTCAGAGATGTTTAGGCAGAGGACATGAACTGCTAGCTCCACATGGGCATGTTGACTGGAGAGGTTAAAGCAAGATAATGAGAAAACCTCAAGTGGAACATTTATGAAATGATATTACACTCACCTTAGCTTCCCCTGAGGATGCTATCATGTACCATCTCATTTCAATCATGTTCTTTTTAATGACTAGAATAGAGCCAGCGCGCTGATGTTACTTCACTCAAAACTCTTCAGTTATTGTATCACACGCTTGGACTGTGACAGCACACAGAGGTGTTAACTTCAAGTTCTCCTGTCGAAATCTTTATGTGCAATGTCTCCACATCCGTATTGACCCATATAAAAAAACAGATTCACAACACAACACAAAATGCAAAATACAAAATGTGAAATACACACTGTGAGCGTGCCAGAGCGAGGGATTGATTTGTCACTTGCCTGTGTGATTTATGAACCTTCTTCCTCCCTTCAGACTACAGTGACCACAGAAGAGAAATTCGCACTTACTTGTCACAGTCACAGGCCAACAAGGCGATGCCCTTGTATTTCTACCAGTGATACCCTTTTTACTGTTCCATGACAGTGTGTCTCACGACTGCAGTTGAGCATCCAGCTCTCCCAGGGGACCCATGAAATAGATAACATTTTATCCCCTCTTTTTTTTGTGAAGAGAAAATAGACTTCATCTTCCTGAAAGCTGCTGCGCTGACCCTCTTTTCACAGTCCCCATCATGAGGCGTCAGATTAACAAAACAATTCCACACAGGAGTGAACACATACAGTCTAAATGGCAGTGCCACCTTTTTTCTCTGTGCTATCGAGCTTTTTTTTCTGTGGGCTGGAAATACCAGCACCACCACCCTTAAGCCATCAGTTATGTCAAATGTTAGTTGTCATGCTGGCTGCCCACGGGCCTCTGAGACAGACCATTTGTCCTGAAAGCACAGGGCGATTTAATCTGAGATAAATCAAGCTTAAGGCATTTTGAACCGTGCAAAAATTGGATCTTAGTTATTGGTTAGAGTTTGTGCATTCAGGGAGTATTTTGAGTTGATGCTTTCAGCATTATCCACAGGGACATGTTTACATATTGTGTCCCACTAGTCAATAGAAAGACAATTTAAGCTCAATAAAAGACTAAATAGAGACACTGTGGAAGCTGAAAAACAAATTGATTTATTCCAATCATCCATCTCATCTTTCTTTGGCTGTTTTTTTTCCCCTGAGGTGCAAATCTGCAGCATCAGTGCAGCAGTACTGATGGCTCTGTATTTTACAATACAGTAATAACCTAGTGTTTTATATGTAATCAGCAATGTGTAATTACATCTCTTCACAATACATCCAGTAAGTATTTTCTTGATACTTTTGCAGCAAGTTTTATTGTCTGAGGTGGGCACCAAGAAATAATAGCATGTATGTATAACAATGTTAAAATCTATGTATTGAGTAATTACACACTATATAGCTACAGTAAAGATTTATTTATGCAATTAATTAACCCAATAAAGGAAATATCCTGTAGTGACTTGGCATGACACAATATATTAGGCAATATGTTTTAATGCACTGATTTAAAGATGACCATTTATCCTATATGTAGGCAAGAGCAGAGAAACTAAAACTGCTGAAACTAAAATCAGCAGTGGAAAATAATTGACTACTAAAAAGTCTATACATTTTTTAGTCTTTCTGACTGTGTATCCTTTTTTTAAATTCTTTTTTAGACCAGCATGTGTATCAATGTTTTTGAAATTGAGTAATGTGAAATTAGGCCTACTTACTATTTCAGATATTAAGCAGGCCTAATTTCATGTTACTCAGTTTCATGCTGCTCATAACAGGAAGTAATTATGCGATCATATTCACAATTACAGCATTTACTGTGTAATTCCTTTACCTATAAGTAGATTATTGTGTAGGCTAGGCTAATACTTGATAGACATTTGAATTGTAGACACATGACTTAGGCTCGAGTCAGACTTCAGTCACAAATTTAATGACTTAACACTCAACTTGGCAAAATTTAAGAAGACTTGCAACGACCTGAACTTTAGTGAGTGGTGATGTCACCTCCACTTGAGCCTTTTGACTTAAAAATACTTGATACTCAGCCCAGTGATTAAATAGTATGTTATTAAAAGGTCCAATGTGTAGGATTTAGGGGCATCTGTTGGCAAAAATTGTATATGATATTTATAGCTATGTTGTCATTAGGCTTTAAACACCTGCCAATAATTATCGTTGTGTTTTGTTACCTAAGAATGAGGTGTTTATATCTACATACATCGGAGGAGGCCCTCTTCCACGGAGTTCACCTTGCTGTTTCACTGTATAGCCCAGAATGGACAAACGCTTGGCTCATGGGAGAAGTTTCAGTTCTGCAACCTCACCACTAGATGCCACTAAATCCTACACACTGGACCTTTAAAAAGTGTGCCACGAATCAATTCATTTCTCTTCATTTCCTGAATCAGCTAATTAAAGTTATTCATTCCCAGCAAGTCAACACTTAATTCCCCAGATTCACTTTGAACCAAGCATCCAGTGAAGTTGCAGGAGAGAACCATGAATGCGATTAGTGCATTGTGCAGGACTCAAAACTGAAAAATGTTAGGAA